AGTAGGTTAGCCACGTCCCCCGGGAGGCGGCGGATTTTTCGGCCAGCTTCGGAGAGGAGCGTACGGAAAAACGACCGGCCATTGGTGGACGCTGTGGATGCAACAAGTGTCAGTCGGCCGTGAAATGTAGCCCTGAAGGGGCTCCTCCGCGAACCGATGAAAGTAGATGGCAAGAAGCAGGAAATGGCGAGAGGGAGGAAGACGGAGGGGTGGCCGAGGAGCGGAGAGCTTCAGCCGATCGGCCAGAGAAAGCAAGAGAGAGGGAGGAGAAGCTGTCAGCTGGCGGTGCAGCTGGCGGAGACGCGAACCGGACCAGCGCAACTTCGCCGAGGCCTAGGTCGTAGCGGCAGCTTATCGACCAACGGGGCAACGGGGCATGTCAGCTCGATCTCGTGTGCCACGAGTTTGCCCGACAACCTGCTTCTGCGTGTCGATTCGAGTCGCCTGGAATGGCGCTTCGATTCGAAAGCGTGGTTCGTCGGTCGCGAACCATCCCAAGTATCGAACAAGTTGCGAGTCGCAAGGAGACTCGACAAGAGTTCGTCAGGCGCGTCCATGTCGGCCACCGAAGCTAACGAAAAGCAGCGGCTGCATTATTGATCGATCTCATCGGCTACACAGCCACGGCCTGATAAATTATCAAGTCGACAGACATCGCGACGTGAATTATGACCGATCAAAGAATCTGCCTCGATGCTCCGCCTCGAAAGGTTCCCGTTATTTCCGGAACGAGCCCACGCTTTTGCAAAATCCGTGCATCGAGCGTCAGCGACGAGGAAACTACCGAGCAATAAATCAACATCGATTTCATCGAACAATTTATATTTAACCACGGAGAATGGCAAAGTGTTACGCGTACAATACGAATTCTCGGTTCGTATGTAGCGCGAAAAATTGCACGCCTCTACCACGAGGACGTAGCAAACGGTAGAAACAATCGGTTATCCAGTGTTCGTCTACGGAGGATTGGAAACGTTGGAATTATAGCGGCGGATCGCTGAGACGAGGCGCCGCGAAG